CTTCATGTGTGGCCCTAATACTCCGTCGTATTTATCTCACCTATAGATGTATTTATTTTTTAGTTTGTCTGTGGTAAAACTGTTACACCAGCAGTAAAACTATAGGTTGTTTTTTTAATTGTGAGAAAAATATATTTTAGAAATCATTGCATAAGAATTTAAGTATTTCAACTCTTTTTTGATATACAAACACAAGCTCCAATGTATTTTATTTGGACTTCATGTGACGGATCAACCAGTTATGGAGCATAATTATAAAGTAGATGGACAATTATTCATAGTTTTGAACTTTTACACCCAATAAAGATCTAAAAATTGCGGCATGTATTTTTGCACCTTGACTCTCTGAGTTAATAGTTGATAGAACCTTTGGCTTATGTCTCTATCCACTTTGAACGTACACAGTTCCAAATTTCAACCTTTTGTCATTAATAGTTTAAACTCAGATTGGTTGTACATCTCCATCTAATCTATATTTTTTATGTATTGCCACATATTTTTCAATTAGATGTAAGTCTTGACTCACTCGGCTATTTTCATTATGAGTCAGGCGGTACCGTTAGCGTCTCAAATCTCTTTCTGCCTCAGATGATTTCCAAGCCCAAGCATCGTTTTTTCTCTCCTTTATCGTGTATGCACCATTCTGTGCTGGTCTGTCACATAAAGCCACATTTAAATGCATTGAAACTTTAGGTCGTAGCGTGAGAGAATGTAGAAAAGCGGAACGGGTAGGACTGCTTTTGCGAGGCACTGTGGATTCTCAGCTACGATAATGTAGCAGAACATAGTTTTATCAGATCAATCCAAATAAGCATGTCACTGCTTACACCGCTTGTTAGCGATGCCATTGTTAGCAAAGTCATGCATCACATTTCCTGACGTGTAGCTTCGTATTTGCAATCACTCACTCATGAGTGGAAGCAATTCAAAGTAGTCACACACTTTGAAAAGCCACATCTCTTATTATTCTAAATTACAAAATCTCTCATATTCATGTCTGATTTTTAATTTTTTGTTATTTAATTTTATTTGCTGCTCTTTTTCATTTTGGGTTGTCTTTTCATCAGTAGCTTTGTCTTGATTTGCGTGGACTGAAACATACTTTCTTTCTTTCACCCTCCCCTCCCCTGTTCATTGCAAACAGCAACGGGGCAAATGTAGTCTGTCACAGCCGGGACCGTCTGTGAGCAGTCCTCACCACAGGTACCTTTTTGTTGCTTCTAGCACACCTAGAAGATAATGGAACTCAACCCATGATGCACTGGGAGACCACTTCAGGCTCTCTAATATACACCCTGTCTGCATTTATCCCTATTTCGCATTTTTCGCTCATGACATTGAATTCCATCATCTTCTGACAGTCTAGGTGCTCTGTGTAGGTTAGATGATGAGGCGAGTTGCAGTACAAACATCCACCAAAGGAATAGTCTTACAAAGAATAGCGACAGGCTTCTTCTTTCTCAGTGTCCTTGGCTGCTTATCTAATATAAAGCAAACACCTAATAACACTTCCTCGCTGTTGCTCAGCAAACACACACATACTCCCCTTTTCCCTCAAAGCGCCGAGCCGATAAATGTCTGCAATGAACAATGCAAAAGCTGCCGTTTTCTTTTATCTCTGGTGCTTTCACTCTCTCTCATGTTTGTGGTGTTTCTTCACTGTTGCTGCTGTCTCACCATCTCCTCCTCGGTGTGTCATGTGTGAGTCTAACCTCTCAGGTGTTCCTCTGTGAGGCAGTAAAGCGGTTATTTTGGTAAAAACGTGCCAAATGTCAATATTTTTGTTCAAGAATTCACCGAATGTCTTATACCTTTAAAACATGTTATTGGGTAGAAGCTATGGGTCCTTAATCAATGTTAGTTTTTACTTTCAGTCTTATGGGCAGGTACCCCGGGCAGCATACAAGTACCAGATCTAAAAATAGAACTTAAACTCAATTGTGCCCTAAATAAATATATACTTTTTTTAATTCTTTGAAAGCACTAATACTGTAAAAAAAAAAAAATATATATATATGTGATATTTTTACTGTACATTCTCATACAATATGAACCACATACTGACACATACACTCACCGGCCACTTTATTAGGTACCCCATGCTAGTAACGGGTTGGACCCCCTTTTGCCTTCAGAACTGCCTCAATTCTTGGTGGC